AAAATTTTTTTAGTGCAACCTAAAATTAACCTACAGAGCTTTAAAAGTACTCCAGATAGCCTAAAACAGCATCTAACAGCATTAGAGAGAAAACGGTCGGTTTATGTAAAAGCCCTCAGGCGATATCATCAAGGCGGTCACCGGTTTAACTCATGTTTAAATATGGAACCCAGATCTCCAACGTTCAAGGCCAAACAGCGTGAGGCGTGGGCACTAGATGAACTAAACCTTGCATGACAGTACTTTCATTAAACGGCATTAATCTAAATAGTCGCTCCAGGTCATGCATAACAATTTTGTTCAACCTTATTGGACACACAAGTGACTGCGAACGATATTGGAGAAGACTACCACCAAGATGAGATTTAAAGGGGCAGCTTATATCCTGGAATATGCTACTTCAACGTTACAAAGTGATAAAAAAAATACTTTTGCATTCAATTTAGTAACTGAATCAGATACCAGATATCAGAGACGATTAGCATAGAGTCGTTAGAAAGAGACAGTAAGACAAAAGAAAATAAACAAGCAAACAAAAAAGTTAAATTCAATGATATGATGCAAATTTCCTTCTTTCAGATCGATCGTCAAATTTTGGGTTCAATGATAGATATCTACTAATAATTTTGATGCGTAAATCCTGACGTATTTCTTTGCTGATTAAACCTCATGTTTACCTTTGTAGTGTTCTTTCAGTTGTCAGTCTGAAAATGATGTGCATTTAGAAAACTACTTGGTAATGTATTACAGCCACAGTAAAAAAAATAAATGTTTTCAGCGTTTTTCAATCCATAACAGAATTTGCAGCAAACACAATTCGTACCTAATCATTAAACTGTGAACCTTTTGAATACCTAATTGGTGACTTTACGGAACTCTCTAGTCACTCTTTTCGATTTTGTTGTTTTAATTTTAAGCACTATAGGCTTTTCCTGCCGAATGAACGGGACAAATAAGCATATTAAGGAAGCATACCGAATTCAAAGTGTGTGGCGTTCCTCAGGGCTTCCTACAACACAATTTTCTCAGTATCTTGACCACGGCAGCTCTAAGCTCAGCAAGACGCCACGAGTACAAAATTGGATTAATGGACGAATTCATGAACACTGCTGTTGTAGTGAAGCCTCGCGCGTTTTCTTGACCTTTAGACAGAGAAATAGACATATCAACGAAAACAGGTGAGAAACACAAAATCATGACGATGTAGAAAACAAACGTGTTCATTGCACTCCTCTTTAAATGCATGAAGATCAGGCTATCTCCAGCTTCTTGATTAGGTAATTGCACCGCCTGTTGTTGAGCGTAAATGCGCGCCTGATGCTTGCGAACAATGCGGTAAATTCTGAAGTAGGAAAACGTCGAAATCGAGAGATAAAGGAACATGGCTAGTGCGACAATTTGGTAATACGTTTTCGGGCTCCAAGTGTAGATAAATGGCAGAAGAATATTGATGGCCCATATTGTTGCTAAGATAGCGATGACTCTTGAGATAGTCATAAACCCAGCGTAGTTTATGTGGTAATGAAGAGCTAAAAAGCGGTCCAGACTTATGGCGGTCATTGTACTAAGAGAAAAGCCACAGCAAACAAAGCCAACTTTGAGCCACAGGCTTCCAAGGAAAAAGTTCTGAGCAAGTCCGCTGGAGATGAAAAGTGGCTGAACGACAGAACCAACAAGAAGATCTGAAACAGCGAGACTACTCAAGAAAACTATGGAAGGAGAACGTTGAAGCGAGGGAGTTTTCAAAATGGCGGCTAACACGAGTGAGTTACCGATAATGGCTACGAAGATCAATGGCACATTTATGGCACAGTTCACGATGACAAAAACTTCAGGCGAAGGGTTTTCACCCATTGCTGAGTCATTTCCATTGCTTAAGTTACTATAGTGCAGCACTTTCCAAGAGTTCTGATATCTTACTTTTACGTCAAATATTCAGACCCGATACAACTGCGTTTCACTACGTTGAAACTGAACGAGTGACGGCAATTTTTCAGTCAGTTATATTTAAGGGGTAATTTGATTCATAAATTCCCGTTTCCTTTGGAAGGTTAATGACTTCCCAGTGAGCATATATTCTCTGTTTCGCTGTTAATGTGATTATATATATTCAGCACGTGCGAATTTAGTGATTTCGCAGCTTGAATTTAGGGAAAATGATTCCTTTTTTCAGAACTAAAAGCGATATTGATACATTTACATTTACCACCTATTGATGTAAATGAAAAACAAAATCCAATTTTGAACAAACCACGAAGCATTATTTATGAGCAGCCAGAAGGAATTTTCATTGGAAGTACTCTTCACACCTCGAAATTGAAAGAAATATTGGTTCACAAGTAATTGCCTTAGTCTCGTCCCTGTTTCAGTCTGAGTTCGGCGAACTTAGAAAAGAGAAATAATAGATACAAATCATATCACATATTTATTTTATGACCCATGTTCCTAAAGCGATGGAATATTCCGTTGTTATGTAAATTCTTTTCGGCAAGCTTAACTAATCTGTCTTATCGACTAATTGCTTTGAGGATAATAAAATTACAATTCTTTACTGTCTCGTATCAATTGATGGAGCGAAACATAAAGTTGCTTCTTATACCACAGTTATGCCGATTTAAGCCTGCAAATGACATTGTTTTCCTTTTATCGAATTCTTATTCAAAAGAAAAAAAACTGCTGAATTTTAATACTGATGATATTCTTTTACATAGAAAAGTATATAAGTTTTCAATGGTCATCATTAATTTATTGGAGCTGCATAATTACTCGTTTAAGTTGCGTAAAAATTGTAATTACCTCAAAGAATGACACCCCACTCTGGAGAGCAGCCGGAATGGAGAAGGCCTTTGCATTGAAAATAAACAAAAAGCGAAGGTTCACTTATTTTTGAACTTTGCGGCACTAGTATAACTGATTCAGTTCAAAGCAGGGAGACCCAGGCCACTTCCTCCATAAATGTTTAAAGTTGTTAATCGCGCCAAAATTTTTATCAGTCACTTTCGGCGTTGCTGATTACAATAGATATCTTCGAAATTGGACGTTTTTAATTAGGGACAAAAGCAATCCGATTAGAGGTGTCAATGACATGACCTCGTCGATCAAAAGTGAGATAAAAATATATTTGCTTCAGGTAATTTTATTAGTGAGTGAACAAGAAATAACTCGCAACCATATTGTGTAAAATCGTTTTGCCTGGTATAGCTTGACAACCAACGAACTAAACTTCGTAGATGTTCGTAGATGTTATTTTGACAATCATAAGCAAACAACAAATTTCAGGCCTGGCGGAACTAAATAGGAAGCTAAGCCAGGCTGACTGTTTAATTGAAATACGTTAGTACCTTAATTAAACAAAATCTATACAACCACTGAAATACTGGAGGAGTTGTGTGTCATGGTAATCAAACTATTTATTTTACTGGCTAGAAAAAGAAATATGGAAAAAAACTCAATTCTTCTGTCAAACGCTACCATTTACTTAATGTTATTTAAGAGCTTCTGCCTGAGAGACCGGGGCAGACTTGGAAATGAAGGTTCACCGATTTCGCTTAAAATTGGTACATAAAGTCGTTATGTGGACTTATGTAATATGCCCAAGTTTCAGCTTCAACGACCATTTTTTTTAGCCGAGTTCTGGATATCAGCCCCTCAGGGGTCCCCAGAAGCTGATTTTCATTGTAATTTTGGCCACTTTTTCAATCTCTCTTTTAGCAATGTACAATTAATTTCAGACAAACCCAAAACCATATTTGTAATGCCCTATTCTTAGGCGCTTATGGGTGAAAACATTAGCTCGCGTAAATTTTTTGATAGCCTGTGGCTATTATCACAACTTGGTTCTATTTGAAGCATATGGGAAGCAACCGGAAATGGCCTGTTTTTCAGATCGCATAATTTTTATGCCCATGTTTTACACCGTAAAGTCTTAGTATCCATGCAAAGTTCAGCTCTTAGTTTAGTAATATGAAGAAAAAAATACTAAGGTCGAGGCTTTTTCACTAGCAAACACTTTAAGAGAAATTACTTACTACGCACTTCATGTCAAGGTCTAAATTCCTTATTAGGAGAGATTTTTAGACACCAGCCGCACAATTAACAACCATTCAATCATCCCTAAGTAAATTATTTAAAGGGAATATATATTTCCAAACCATAAGCTAGAAATTAATTTCCCTACTGACGGATTTGAAGCTAAATTTGTACCCTGTACCCAGGTGACTGGAAGGTGAGGGGGAAACTTTATACGTTGATAACAAGAAAAGTAATCAAAATGCAATGAAACAAGCTGTTTACTGAGTGTATAAGTTAGCTGGGAAAAGCTGAGCAAAAAACACACACCAAAAGCGTTATGGGACTCTGCCTTGTTTCCATGGCAACCTTGCTTTGTCAGGCATAATTACCCTAAGTTTGAGCTTTTTAATCTAATTCTCTGTTTTTTTATTGACGTTTTCAAGTTTCTTGGGACAAACATAGTTTTTTTGCACCTTTTCATTCATTTAGTACCCTTTCTCTTCTCTTTTAAGTTTGTTATAATTGGCAAAAACGATATTTTGACTTCATGGAAT